GGGAGGAAGTTAGGTTATTGGGGGTGAGCTCTTGGCAGGAATTCTGGTGGGAGGAAGTTAGGTTATTGGGGGTGAGCTCTTGGCAGGAATTCTGGGACTCAGCCCTTCCTCTTCCTTCTCTGTTTTCTAGCTGCCAGGAGGTGAACAGCTTGCTCCACTAGGCACTCCCTTTATTTTTGGAAGTAAAGGTGGCTGGACTCAGCCTCACCCTTGTTGAGCCTGTACCCCTGAGCCAGGCCTGATTCACCAAGAACTCTTGCCACAATGCATTTTGAAGCCACAGTCAGCACAAAGCAACAAGGCCAGCTGGTTATAGACTGGAAACCTCGTCCACACTCTTCTCAGAACCCCTTCCCCATCCCATTTGCTCCCTCTTCACAGGCCTTGGAAGGGCCAGAGATGCTGCTTAGCTCTGTGTCCATAGACCCAGCGGAGTGCAGGGTACCCTACCTGTCTGCATGCCGCAATGGGGGCTGACTGGAAGGCACAGTTTTAATTTCTGCTCATCACATAGATTCACTGTAGACATAGTGCATCTACTTCATGCACACTACGTTCCTTCCCACTGGCTCCCCCCCCCCCCACTACCAAGGGCTCAGAATCTGAGGACGATTAACAGAGACCCAACATACAGACATCTTCCCAGCAACACTCATCTTCCTGAGGTCCTTCCCAAGGACTAGCAACGTTCTTCCCAGTGTCTGAGGCCTGTGCCTTTTCCCGGACACTTCTCCACCCCTCCACATCTGAACCAGTGGCTTCCCAAGAGTGCCAAGCAGGACATCCTGGCTTTACAGGCTCACGTTTATGACTCAAAACAGCCCCACAGGGCCAAGGCCGGCCGGAGACCGCTTCCACGCTCCCCAGTGCCTCACAAAAACAGGGCTATGAAATCTTGTAGCCCTATCATAAATAAAGCATGTTTCAGCAATGATCAGTATCTATCCCATTAGCTTTGTATATTCTGTCTGTCTCTGTCTCTCTCTCTCTCACACACACACTCATACCACTCATATGGTAGTACTGGGGCTTCATGCTCTTGCTTGGCTTTTTTGCTCAAGGCTGGTGCTCTGCCACTTGAGCCACACCTGCATTTCTGGCTGGTTAATTGGTGATGAATATCACAGACTTTCCTGCCTGAGATGGCTTCAAACCGCAATGCTTGAATCTCAAATCGCATCCTCCTGAGTAGGATTACAGGAGTGAGCCAACTGCACCCAGCTTTTTTCCCCAATACTGAACCTGATGTGTCAAATAGGTTCTGATGAATCCTGAAAACAAGTAACATTTGATTACAGCTATGGAGGCTGGATGTGGGGGTGGGCAGGTTAGCCCCATATATGCAGGTCTGGCATAGAGAAGCTTGTTTATCAGATGCTGCAAGAAATCCCCGGGCTTCTAGCTGCTAGGAGCCAGAGACAAAGTTCAAAGCTAGTATCCTGTAAAAAAATGATGGTAATGATTGCTGTTTTCTTCCTACTTTCTCTACTAGCATATTCATTAGTCACCAAGGAAAGGACCTCCAAGGTTACTACCCTGGGCAACTAGCAAGACTGCATCGTGATTCCAGTGCAAAGATACACAAGTAAGGCCCATTCCTTATCTTCATTTCCAAGGCCATCAAAGGTAGAATGATAGCATGAGGTGATATAAAGGAACCACATGATCTCAGAAATAATGGTGACGGTAATAATGGTCTGACCACTTAATAGAAAGCCTTAATAGTTTAAAATTTAAGGCTCACACCTATAATCGTAGGTACTCAGGAGTCTGAGATCTGAGGATTCTGGTTCAAAGCCACTCTGGGCAGAAAAGTCTGCAAGTCTCTTCAGTTAACCATCAAAGAGCAGGAAGTAGCCAGACACCGGTGGCTCAGGCCTATAATCCCAGCTTATTGGGAGGCTGAGATCTAAGGATTGCAGTTCAAAACCAGCCTGGGCAGAAAAGTGTCCATGAGACTCTTATCTCCAATTAACCATCAGAAAACCAGAAGCAGCACTGTGGCTCAAAGTGGTAGAACACTAGCCTTGAGTGAAAAAGCTCAGAGACAGGGCCCAGGCCCAGAGTTCAAGTCTCATAAAAAAAAAAAAAGCAGGAAGTAGAGCTGTGTCACAAGTAGTAGAGCACCAGCCTTAAGTTATAAAGCCACGGGACTGAGAGATCTTGAGCTCAAGCTCTGGTACCAGCACAAAGCAAAACAAAACAAATGAAAACCACTCTTTAGAACATTTAGAAAAGATGGGTAGTCAAAAATTTTTAAATTGAAGATTACCCAAGTCACTGTCCCAAAGTAATTCTTCAGAACCTATTATGCAAAAATCTATCCTAAAATAGTATAGAATGGTATTGTGATACTTCATTTTCATTTTATCTATTTACTATTTTTGGTAACATTTCTATTGGGACAAATCAAATACCATTCAAATAATCCACTTAAATTGTGTTTATACTTAATATGTTGTAGGCCTTTTTCCATCTCAAAATTAAAAATCTAAGCCAGGCACCAGTGGTTCATACTGTAGTTCTAGCTGTTCAGGAGGCTGAGATCCGAGATTGAAGCCCAAATCTAGCCAGGGCAGGAAAGTCTGTGAGACTCTTACCTACACTTAACCATCAAGAAGCTGGAAAGGGCTCTGTGACTCAAGGTGGTAAAGCACTAGCCTTGAGTAAAAGAAGTTATGGACAGTGCCCAGGCCCCAAGTTCAAGATCTAGAATAGGCACCAAAAAAAGAAAAAAGGCACAAAGAGGTTTAATTCTACAGCATTGTTTTAAATTTGCATGTCTATATTACCAACTTAATATTTCCCTATTCTTTAAAAATATTCTTTTTCTGATTGCCACATAGCAGTTGTACACCTGACATTGGGATTGAAATCCATGAACAGTGTGAGAGAATCAGAGCAGGGTAACTAGTACATCTGTCATCTCAGATGGTTCCCTATTTTTTTAACATGGAAGAATTCCTACTCTTTCTGTGATTATTAAAACACTTTGACAAAAGCATTGTTAGCACTACATCTTCGCTGATGGGCACCCCCAATTGCTAGACTAGCTACAACAAAATATATGGATATTTTTAAGGTCTCAATGTGTATTTACATTCATATTACAAACAAGCTGTAACAGTGAACTGATACTTGCACAAGGGTCAGGAGGTATGTTGGCTTTACATTTTGTTCTTTTTTGCTCTTTGGCAAGTAACTGAGATGGGTAGAGGAAGGTGAGGACAGGTTTTAGGTCTATAAAACGCTCCGATGTACTACAGGGCTGGTCTGACAGAGAAGGCATTGGCGCCATGGACTCAGCTTCCCGGGATGCTAGACTGAACCTGAGCTAACTCTCTCGCACCTTTGCTCTGCCCAGCCTCGGGACAATGGGGTTCTAGAAGTTCTTGGTCTTGTGGTCACTTCCTGGGGGTAGATGCCTGATGACAGAACAAAGTGCTCCTCTCTGAGGTGCTCATCTATCGTTTTTGTTTCCATTTAGACCACTCATAGACTTGTCCATTCCATCCAAGGCTCCCTATCAGCCTGAATTAGACCAACAGACGCTCATTCAATACATCTGCTTTCGAAAACACCAAAAGCCTCCTGAACCATGGTATAAGGAAACCACTTACCAAAGAGACTTTTCTCTGCCATTCTACAAGATTGGTAAGTCCAATCAAAGTGGTCTTAAGTCAGTGAGCTCAGCCATGCCTGAGGCCAGCTCAGCCCCTCCTGTGGGCTGGCTATCTCAGGAAGTGTGCTGAGGACCCACCAGTATGCTGCGGTCAGAGATGTGAGCAGGGGTCTGGTGCAGAGAGACGTGACTAGGACCTACAGTGGCTTCTTCTTGCATTGCTGGCTGCCCGTGTGCGGCACTTCAGGATGAAGATGAAAAGGGCAGCTAGGAATATGGCCTAGTGGTAGAGCGCTTGCCTTGCATGCATGAAGCCCTGGGTTCCATTCCTCAGTACTATATAGACAGAAAAAGCCAGAGGTGGTGCTATGGTTCAAGTGGTAGAGTGCTAGCCTTGAGCAAAAGAAGCTCAGAGACAGTGCCCAGGCCCCTGAGTTCAAGCCCCAGGACTGGCCAAAAAAAATGAAAAGGTGTCTTTCTTGGGACACAGCTGGAGTGTGAGCCCAGCCACAAGATAGAACAGTGACCACACCTAACATACAGCTGGAAAATCTTTCCCTCATTTGCCAACTTCAGTGATTTTATGATACAACCTGACATATTGGGGCGTGGTCTAGAAATTCTGAACTGCCCTGTGGTGTTTCTGTCTGGCGACACAAGTGAGCAGGAAGGGAGGGAGGGCAGAGGTGATCCCAGATGCACATGACACCAGTGTCAACATTCCTGACAGTGCTGTCATCCTCAGTGCTGGGCTTTGAGTTCCTCGAATGAATTGCCTTTTGGCAGACTATGCTTTTTTTTTTTTTTGCAATACTGGGTTTGAACTCAGGACCTTGAACTTTCTAGCTAGGGTCTCTACCACTTAAGCCGTGCCCCTAATGTTTTAATTTTTTTTTGTTTATTTTTTGTCGGTCGTGGGGCTTGAACTCTGGGCCTGGGCGCTGTCCCTGCGCTCTTCAGCTCAAGGATAGTGCTCTACCTCTCGAGCCACAGCGTCACTTCCAGTTTTCTAGTGGTTGGCTTATTGGAGATCAGAGTCTCATGGACTTTTCTGCCCGGGCTGGCTTTGAACCATGATCCTCAGATCTCAGCCTCCTGAGTAGCTAGGATTACAGGTGTGAGCCACCGGCACCTGGCACATTTTAATTTTTTAAATAAAAGTCTCATGTTTATGCCTGGTCTAGTTCTGAAGTCCAGTTCTTCTATTTTCACTTCCCAAGTCGTTAGGATGACAAGCATGAACCAGCTGCACTGCACCCAGCTCACTGGCAGACTTCATGATAAAGGAGAGCAAGGGGGCTCAGGATAAAAGGAAGGAATTGTGAGGCTGGGAGAGGACGCTACTGGATCAGGAAGGGCAGAAAAGAAGAGCTGGCCAGGATGCCAGCAGGGCTTCTTGCCTTCACAGCTGGAGCACACCTTTGATTTCTAGATGAAGGGGTGATAGCATCTCTTTAGTAGGAGGGAAGCCAGCTAACCTCTGGCTTCCAGTGATAGGAAACAGAGCCTTCTTTCCCTATGGGACAGAAATCTCATTAGACAGATCGACATCGAAGGCCTTCTCCTTTGGCTTATTTTACACAGTTCCATGGTCTATTTGCCACCTACTATGTCCCCCAGAAAGTCACCAGGGAAGGTGAAATGTGACATACTAAAGTCTTAGAAAGTAAGTTACTACCAGGTAGAGAGCAGGAGCAGCCTGCCTGCCAAATTTTTGGCTGATAGCACACCCTTCTGCAGAAGTAAACTTTGCCTTTGTTCTTGTCTATGATTATGACTCTGCTAGTTCTTGGAGAGCATATTTATGACAATTGACAATTTGATGTTGGGCTCATTTTTGTTCGGTCCTGCAATAAATACTTAATAGCGCCTATTTATGTGGCCATCAGTGTGCTTGGCTTTGACCAATGCCACATGAAACAAAGAGACAGTTTCCACATGAGATTCAGTGGGTGGAAACAGCACAGGCGCACCCATAAAATGCCACTTGTTAAATGGTTTGAAGTAGAGACTCTATGTTGCTATGGCAGCCTATTAACAGACCAGAAGTTTTCCTTGCGAAAAAGATTGACTGAGAGCTGAAGGGCAAGGTAAAAGTTAAACTAGACAAGGAAGAGAACAGCATGGTGTGTCCAGGCTGCCCAAAGGTAGGCCAGCTGACTCAGGAACCTTGCGACAGGTGACAGCCTGAGAGGCCAACTGATATGGACTCGGGTGATACCTGCTTTATAAAGAACCTGCAGATAACAAGACTGAGGTGGCTCACGCCTATGATCCTAGCTTCTCAGGAGGCTGAGAGCTGAGGAAAGTCTGTGAGACTCTTATATCCAATTAACCACCAAAAAGCTGAAAGTGGAACTGTGGCTCAAGTGGTAGAGAGCTAGCTTTGAGCAAAAAAGTCACAGGGACAGTTGCTAAGCCAAGTTCAAGCCCTAGAACCAAGCACAAAAACAGAAACAAAGAAAAAAAGAGCAGACAGGCAAAAGTTGGTCTGCAAGAGGCCTGATAAGAATGCCAGGAATCTGTGGGAAAGGTTTTCCACAGAGAAGTAAGGTTAAAGTGTGTCAAAGCACAGGCCCTTAAGCCACTTGGCCTGTCTCTGGGATTAGATCTCCTCTCCTCCACTTTCTTTCTTGTGCAGTACGGAAGCCAGTGCCCAATACTCACAGGCAAGTATGCCAGCTCTGAGCTGTGCCTGTGATTGGGTGTTTGAGCACAGTGCTTTGTCTAGATCAACAATGATCCGCATTTCAAGCTCAGTGCTCTGAGGCTTCTGACTGGGACTTGTAACAACAGACTAAATATAGACCATGATAGGTGTGGTTATTCCCTTCAAAGAATTCTTCCTCAATTAAAATTCTCAGCCCATTCTATTTCATTGATTTATTTAAGAACTGCTTATGAAACACTGACTACCGTGGAGGAGGAAGAGCAGGCTTGTCTTCGGCGTGTTGCCTGGGGGAGGAGGCCAGCCCGGGAAGACTTTGTCCTTGTATTACTCACCCCAGTACCCAATGATTCCTCTTTTAAGCTGGGCACCAGAACACTCCTATAACCCTTGCAATGCAGGAGGCTGTGAGATCTAAGTGCAAAGCTATCTGGGGCAGGAAAGTCCATGAGACTTACTTGTAATTAACCACCAGAAAACCAGAAGTGGAACTGTGGCTCAAAATGGTGAATGCTAGCCTTAAGCAGAAAAGCTAAGGGATAACACCAAAGACCCAAGTTCAAGCCCCACAACAAACAAAAAAGAAAAAGAAATTTCTTTACATGTAGTTGACTTGTTAAGGATGGTGGAATATAGAACAGTAAAAACCTAGGGACTTTGGAGTCTGAGAATCCTGGTCAAACTCAGGCTTCACCTCTGAGCTGGGTCAACTTGACAAATGAGTCTGTCTTTGAGGTGGTGGTGATGTGTTTGTGAAGGTTAATGTAAGTAACAATGTAACAAAGCTTTGTGAGAACGCTGTCGCTGAGATACCATCACCTCAGAGCCAAGACTGTTGTCAGCCCAAGCCTTCCCTGGGCATTTCCTTACAGGTTAGCAGGGCCTCTGGTGAGGGAAGTCAGCAACTAGACTGCAGTGCAGAGAAGATAGAATGGCCAATCGACAATGCAGCTCCACAGGGCTTGGCAACCTAGAATTGGGACATTAAATGCAAACTTATGAGGGTCATTTCATTTTTACTTACATGTTGGCGTACCTAATAATAATCCTTATCACTTGGAGACTATAAATAAGTCTTTTTTCCATATATTAAACACATTCTTTCGCCTTAAATCTCATAAATTATTTTGTTTCAGGGCACAAATGCTAAGGAGTATCTTAAAATATTGGGGGACACTGGAAGCATAGGTCAGGAGGTGTCACCCCGATAAGCAGTCACAAGGGCGAGGTCAAACCCTAGTCCCATCAGAAACTAAAAAGCAGAAGTGGGTAATCGTAAAATAAATCGTTCAATTGCTTTAAATTCCAGGCTGGGATCAGAAATTAGCCACAGTTTCATCAAATCCTGCACCACTGAATTCACTACCAGAGATGTATCGTTGTCAAGAGAGAAGCAGCCTTGGGAGAGATGCTTTTAACTAAATAAATCACAGCATTCATATCAAACAACTTTTGGCATTCTTAGTGACCATGGTTGCAGTACTTTTAATTCTGATGTGTATGTGGATAACTCTTAATTCTATAATATCTACATGTTGCCAATTCTTTTCAGATGAGGTTGTTCAGCCTAGACCCAGGAATCATGACCCAGCCTTCAGAGAACTGACTGGCAGAGCCCTTGCCTAGCTAGGCCCTGGGTCATTATGGGTACTGGTGAGTACCCATAATATTTCCACTCCCAATCCTTGACACCCCCCACCCCCATCCCAGACCCATTGGGAAAAAAGCAACACACACACAACTCAGAGCCCAGGCAGAAGCTAGAGACCTTAGTCTCAGCCCTGTGAAAGGTTACCATGTAGCTGGTGCCTATGGCTTTGGCAGGGGGAACATGGAAGACTATTGAACTTCATGAGTGTAGGCCTGTTGCTATTCTTTTGCTGTGATGTTGAAAAGAAATACGGTATGGTAGATCAGGCATTCGGGAAGGTCCCACGCAGCAGTTTAGGCAGTCGGGAAGGTCCCACGCAGCAGTTTAGGCAGTCGGGAAGGTCCCACGCAGCAGTTTAGGCAGAAGTATTGAATGTAAGAAAGCCAAATTGGTATCCAGAGCATCTATTCCAACAGCAGCAAAATACTGCTCAGCCCATAATGGAAACAAGTCAGCTGTCACTAGGAAGCTGGTAATCACTCCAGAGAAGGGATGGTACCATACTGTAGGCTCACATTTAGGTTCTCTCATTCATCACACCCAGTACTTTCCTATGGTAGCACATTAACCCCATTCACAAGTGTGTGTAGAATCGTATCCCCTACACAATGAACTTCAACAAGACTGTGCTTGCCTGCTAGCACATTCATATGCATAGCATATGTAATTACACCTAGCACATTCATATGCATAGCATATATAATTACATACATAACTTCCAATACAATTGAATACTTATCAATGATTTTAAAGACAAAACAGATTACCTCTCATATTAACAATATTTCACTTCTAAAAAAACACTTGGCCAAAGTTGAACCATCAGTATCATAGTAGCAATGTGTGTATTTTTTAATTTCACCAGTCCTGGGGCTTGAACTCAGGGTCTGGGCCCTGAACTTTTTTTCCTCAAAGCTAGCACTCTACTACTTAAGCCATAGTGCCACTTCTGGCTTTTTCTGTGTGTGTGGTATTGAGGAAGCGAATCCAGGGTTTCATGCATGCAAACACTCAACAACTAAGCCACATCCCAAACCCGTTTTTAGTTTTGTTTTTTTTTAAGGTATTGCTGACTTCTGATTTGGAAAGGAAAAATGAGTTAACTGTATATTTCCTTCTGAGGCATTACTGAAAATGTTTCAATAATGCAATGCTTATACCCAAGATAAGGATATGGACTTTAAAAGCCCATTCAATTTCCACTAATATGAACAGAATTCACATATTTTAACATATTTACATATTTCAACATACAGGTCACTAATCTGTATGGACTTATAATACCACCTATACTGTTTATTTATTGAGTCTAATGATGCTGCTCCTATTTTAGAACTCTTCTTGGACCAAGTATTAATAAAAATCATACACTGGAGAAATATTTAGACCTTCACAAAGATTTTGTTTCTAATGTCTCCTTACCTTGCCCACACCCTGAAAGGAAGCAGCAGCTCCTTTACACCATATCTCTACTGCCAGAACAAAACACAATACACATAGCATACTAGAAATATTTGGTTCTTTTTAATCAGCTGTTGATGGCATAATAAAATAAATTTAAGTGGTAACTAATTTAAACATTTACTAGTTCACGGGAGGATAATCTACAACACAATATGTTATGCCTAACTATCTAAATAACACACACCCCTTTTTTGTTTTTCCAAATAAAGGAGAAATGAAGGCATGATCAAATTTATGACACCTGCATATGATTTGGTAGATATACTGGCAGGCACAGTGTTGAAAACCAATCCATTAGATTTAGATTTTTAAAAAAGGAAAGCTACACATCTCAGTTCATATCTAAAACTAAACAAAAATATCCACTGAGTATCATAATAGATCTTTTAACGACTATTAAAAAAAACATTATGGTAGTTGTTTTGGGGAAGCATCTTTTCTCTTTAAACACTTAACGCATTAAATAATCTGTAGAGAGAAGTAAGTTCTGTACAAAGGGACCCATTATAACACGCCCCTTCTCCCTGCCAAAGCTCAATTTTGCAATGGTCTCTGCCAAAAATACCAGTTCATATGTTAAGACAGAATCCATGGCATTACGGAGTTCACAAAGCCCATCCTGCCTTCACTTTTTCTAACAACAAAAGTTACAATGAAAGAATGATCAGAATGTAGAAATGCTTGTGCAAAACTGCATTGTTCTTACTATCTACAGTACTAGGGGGCAAAACTAAGGAACATACAATGACAATGAAGAAAACCTACATTGGAGGTGACTCGAGTTCAAACAAAAAGTATTCTACCTATTACTAAACATTGAAAGGAAACGTGGCACCATGAGCGGCAGGAGCAACAGGCGATTCGGCCATTATGCCAGGTGAGGAAGCTGGCACCAGAATATGCCCAAGTCTATCTTCACAATAGCCACCACCTCACAGCCCGGAAACCGGTGCCAGGCTCCACACACATTCCATGTCTTCATTCTGGAACTTGTAAGTCGTAAAGGAATATTTGAGTAAGTCTCTTCCCTCCCTGGTAGGAGTGTTTCTTACATCCCTGGCCATCCTTAAAAGAGTTGAATCATAGACTCTCTGGATTTACCCACACCAATCCATTTCACTGGAAAACAGAACAAAGACAAAAGGACATCAATCATCCACCCAAACTTCTCAGGTCACCATTTTCCCTAGAAGCTTGTGCTTCCTGCTAGCAGACAATGCCTGTTCCTAATGGGCCACAGACACAGTCAAGGTAGTCACCTCTTTTCTGCTTTTTTGTGGACCTCATATTTAGTAGTCAAGTGCACTTACATCACCCAAGCCATGCTCCCATGCTAACACGCTAGTTGAAATGTACAACATTTATAACTTCTTAATCCCTAGTGACTAGGATACTAAAATACTAGCCTAAACCAGCAGAGACTGGAAGAACTTTTGATTATCTGATATCTAGAAAAGCATCTTTGATAAACAGATAATAAGTAGAAGTGTCGCTGCACCTTCTATACCAAGTAGATACAGAAGTGTCACTGTACTTTCTATACCAAGTAGTTACTGAAGTGTCACTGCAGCTTCTATAGCTCAAAAAGTAGAATTATAGACCAGCTTGCATGGCCTGCCACACCAGCACGAGGAACCCCTAATCATTTGCAGCCCCTGGCTTTAGGGGATCTGTAAAGTTACTGGGTTCCACATGGCACTGTTAGCATAAACTTTTATAAGTGTTCACCAAAGTCTTTGTTAGATTCACTGCTATTTAGTTCAGAAAATGGTAGCCAGTAACAGGAGGCAAATATGCTTACTCAATTTGATACCACACGGAAGGGCTACTGCTCATCAGGAAAACAAGAACCACAATACAAAATCAGTCCATGCATACTAGATTTTACATGGAAAATATCCTGTCTACTTTTTCTTTCAACTCCCATTCATGTAAGAAGATAAACAAAAGCATCTCTTAAGAGACAGACTCCACAGCCGGGCACTGGTGGCTCACGCCTGTAATCCTAGCTGCTCAGGAGGCTGAGATCTGAGGATTGAGGTTCAAAGCCAGCCTGGGCAGGAAAGTTCATCAGATTTATCTCCAATAAAACCACTAGAAAACTGGAAGTGGTGCTGTGGCTCAAGCGGTAGAGTGCTCGCCTTGAGCTGAAGAGCGCGGGGACAGCGCCCAAGCCCAGAGTTCAAGCCTCAGGACCAACCGAAAAAAAAAAGACAGACTGCACATAACTTTATTGTGCCTATCTCACTGGCCAGCTTTAAGTTTTCATTTTTAATAGAGTTTATCCAGTCCATTTTTTATTTTCTACTAATCTGATTTCCTCTTGTATGTAGTTATTTCCTAATGCCTATTCAAATAAACTTCTCCAACTCTTAAAGGTGGTTTCACTCAAATGCGGGGGGGTGGGGGGAAAGCCCATAAACTAGTTTTCAGTGAGGGTGAAAATCAAAAGAAAAGAATGAACGATCATGGGATAAAAGCAAAAACATGTCAGAGAAGCTAAGAGGGAATCTACAAACTTGTGGCAAAGTGCTTGCCTAGTAAGTGCAACTGGGTTAGATCCCCAGTAACAAAAAAGAAAAAAAAAGTTTAAAAACCCAAACAGAAAGTATTACATTATTGTAAGGTCTGCCCTGCGAAGGCAAGGCAGACTCCTCCCTCCTCTTGGCCAAGTCTCCACCTGTGTCACCTAGGTAACTGGCACACCTGGAAGCAGTCGACTCACCCTCCTCCAAGGTCACATCTTGGGCTGGCCCTGGTCATGCCTCCCATCAGACCATGGGAGGGTCCCAGGCCCTGAGGTCACATCTGCGTCCAGTGTGGCCATACCCTTCCACACACCTGGCTGCACCTTCCCCTCAGTTTCCCAGGCAGGATATCAGCTAGCCCCTTTCCACCGTGTGCTCTCCACCATGCACTGCGGGGTAGCAGTTCAGTAATAAACTTCTCCTTCCTGCTTGAATTCTCATGTGTTCTCTTCATCAGCTACCTAATTAAACCAACCTATTCAATTTACCTTACAATTATGTGTTCTAATACATTGCTGGGAATCCTGAGACCTCTTCAAACCAATAATCTTTGCTTCTGTTTGGAAGGTCAGTTAAGGCAGAAAGAGCAGGGCTAAGGTACAGCTTGACTAGCAGCACAAAGCCCTGAGATCCATATCCACTTCCCTGCTCCCGAATACAATGATTTTTTTCTTTAAATTGAAGATCCTAGTTCATAAAATGTTTACCTGGAATCTGAAGCTCATCTTCAACAAACCGAACATACTGTTGTGCATTTACAGGTAGCTCCTTAAATGTCC